AAAAAATAAAACATTTTTATCTAAAGTTAGTTTTTGTTGTTATAGTCAGTAGAAGACTTATATAGTCTGCATACACTTCAGCCAATCTTGAATCTCTGTCTTTTACCGATGAGGCGGCATTAGTAACAACAACGAAATTTGATACTGGCGGGTAGAGTAATTATTGAATCATGTATGTATTTGAAAGTTTTTGATATTGCTAAAGTATAAATTATATAGTTATTAACTTCTTATAACTCCTCATTAAATTTTTTAAAATTTCTTGTGTATCAGATATTGATGAATCTTTTACACAATTTCTTTTTCAAAAACGTGTAGAAAACTTAGGGTACGGCTTAGATTCGAGTAGATACGGTACATTATTTAATTAAGTTAAATTAGTATTTTTTAATGTTTTTAATTAGATGTTTACTATTTTCTTAAAGGACAAAAAGAAGTGTTAAAAAGTCAGTATAAGTAGCAGATACAGTCTTAGGATTATTGAGGAACCCTTAAATAACTCCATGTGTTGGAAGTCAGAGAGGGGTGTTCAAAATTTTGGGGGTCCGCGATGTCAGACTGATACATAAAAAGGGTCCCACGGCGATAGATAGTTCAAGAACATTTCTTCCAGACGATATATTTATTTATATTTTAGTTAGTTTGTAAATAAATTATTATAGCTTATAAAATTCTAATGACTTCAATTCTTACTTTACTTTGCTACTTGGTCCCGATACGTGTTGATTTAATTTTTGTATACGCTGTGGTAGCCAGTAATTATGGTCACGAATTCGTAGCCGGAGTGTCAAGGGTTCGAGTCCTGGTATCACTGAATACCCGCCATGTAGAGGAAGCTGAGGCATCTTAAATCTGTCTAGGCTCAATGTCCTCCCGTTGGCGGGGTGTGGTTAAAAGAGGAGGACAGGTGCCAGCTCAGGTGTCGTCCTCGTCACTCGCCCAAGGATCAAAATTACGAGGCCCACGTTTATTTTGCCCTAGTATTAATAAATTGTGCGACGTTAACGAAACACTCACTCCTTCAATCTTTGTATTCTTTTAACCTTAAGATATCCGACTACGTTCGGAACCGTGATTTTAAAAAGCGCATAAAGGGTTAATTTTCATGATATTTAGTGTCACTTAGATTAGAATACATGTATAAAATTGTTTTACGGACATTAT